TATATATATATATATATATATATATATAATATATATATATATATATATCTATTTATATATATATAACGTGAGCGGAAAATATATCGTAACTACTACTTAAATGGATGCCCAAATCACCAACCGGCAAACTATTCATACCAATGCATATCGCATTGAGCTGGCTGTGGTTCATACTCTCTTGTTAATTTATTAAAGCTACGTTACTTCCCTCGGAGAAACACATGAGCGTACAACTTCTCCTAAAATGTAATTGAATGGATGCCCGGTTTTCCCCCCTCGACCACTAGTCTTACCAATGGACGTCACCCTTAGCTCGTTGTGGTATTTAACAGACCACACTGGACCATCCACTACCACACCACGCGGCAGATGCAGCTGTGACGGAGACGCCTCTATGTCGCCCAAATCTGCGATTAAGAAGTGTGCAGAGTCTAGATGTAGAGATGTCTGTCCTTGGGTATGTGTGTGCATCGACGACTCTTGGTGTACATTCACGCAGCGGAAAGGTGCATACACGGATTGAGTTCTGTACGTTGGCCCTGTACGTAATTCTTTGGAATCACTCAAGCCGACGGATGTCTACAAATCATGTTCAAGCATACCAATGTGATGTCGGCTTGCGAGAGCTACGTAGCACAAGACTAGGCTCTCCCATCGCAAGTAATGCTATACTCGAATAACCTCAACACCACGCACTTGTAACCCCATGGATAGTCTGTACTGCTACGGGAAGCACTGACATTTGCAATGGTATTCTTCTGAGCCAACGCCGTCGTAGTACCACACACACACACACAGGTCACTTGATGAGATGCAAATGTCACAACAAGTAATTGGATTCGTCAGCACAGATAGCTATAACCCAGGCGACGGAACACTTCTATGTCATGACAGATGATCAACAGATCGTAACTTTACCCTGGTACATCCAACCGTAACTCTCTGGGTCAAGTACTACCAAACTAACAAGTTATTGATGAAGAGGAGCAAGACTCACACCACTACAATGAGTTGTCCAGCAAGCATACCTTACAGTCCACCCTATCAGCCAAATGCCGTAGGAGAAGCACCACTCTGGATACACTTTAAGGCATGAGTCATAGTACTGTACTGGGAAGATAATCTCAACCTGTCCTAAACCTTGAAGGGGGACCATCCCAAACACAGACCAATACACCGCGCAATTTAAATGCCAGTCAACACCGAGTGCATCGTTATATATATATATATCATCGGACAAGTACAAACACTGCCACCTACCGGTCAGTAGACTATAGCCTTTCATCGGGTACACAGGCACGTACAAGCCCAGCTTCCTCAGCAACAAGGGTGTCCAGCTACCCGCTGCCACTACTACATCTGTGGTGGCCGGATCGAACTCAATAACCCCCTCCGACGTTTGCAACCCACGTACTTGCTCGTTGTGGTCGCCATGCAGCAGAACACCTTGCACGTACACACCCGCGCGGAACTTCACACCCATCTCTTGGCATTTGTCGGCGAGTGCTTGGGTGAAGGCCGGCGAACTAGCGTGCGCCGTGGTTGTCTGGTCCAATACAGGAACATCGAAAGGGCGGTACTATCGTACAGAAACTATCCAGCATCGATTTACAGCGGACTCTGTGTTGACAGTGCTCGGTGTGAGTAATACTTTAATTGGAATGTACAGAACTTTACTCTGGACTACAAACACACAGCAAACGATACTCCAGTATAGCAGCAAACAATTCTCAAGCAAAGCTGCAAACAATGATCCGGTATAATATGCCTGCCACACGATTGCATCACAAACGAACACTGTGCAAGTAAGCATCGAAACCCTTGCACACATACCATGCCCATAGAGGAAGCCCTTGTACACGTACAATCAATGCTCATGGAGAAACAACAGTAGTTATATCTGGATGCTATTTGTGTTGAAATAAGTGGTAGGAATGTCATGAAGTAGCGATACAAGGGTGCAATCAAGTAGTTACTTGATACTTCCCACTGCTTAAGCTAACAGGACAAAGTATAATAAAGCACCCTATGAACGGATCACCTGTCTGATAGCGCCCAAGACCCTTCTGCCCAGCACTGAGTCGGCCAGCCATGGCTGTGATGCTACACATTCAGTCTTCGTCAAGAACTCAGAGTTCACTGTGCTAGGGTAGCCTGTGGGAGCCCTTGATGTGTGTAATAATTAGTGGATGGCCCATCAGACACAAATTTATTCGCACCACCACCACAATGCTTTATTATCCGTATCACCCTTCACGGCAGCTGTTAAATAGGTTGATGGCGTGTAGAGGAAACCGAACGTTTGGCACTTGAAAACCTTGTTGCCTGAGTGTGGTTCCGAGTGACAGAGACGGTCCGGCAGTGTAATCCGCAGACATGGACAGTCGCGTAACAGATTGACTCTATGAATGCACGGGCTAAGGCATATAATCCTCGAGCACTTACTTGTCAATACTACTTCTTTTAACGACGTTTCTATACGACTAAACGTAATCAGTGCTCTGAAACATCTTAAAACGCATGCCGATCAATTCGAGCGCAGAAAGTAGTACCTTGCCAAAGCACTGTCGACTTCCGACTGTGTGCGGAGAAGAAAGGTGATGCCATCACGGGAGTAGTCCGCCGCCCTGCCTAGCCTCCTCTCGTCCTGCAGTGTATATGTGTATTGATCAAATACAGTACCGCACACTGATCAGTTATGGTACTCACACACCATAATACTACGTCTTACCATAGTTCTATGCCTTGGTGCGCTTGGTGTCATAGAGAGATAGATGGTCACTCAGAACCGAAGTGAGAGAGTACACTACGCCAATGAGACTACGGCGCGAGTGTATGGACTCAAGTAAGAATTTCCGGTTCGTACATGTGGCGTTAATCCACTTTACGATGAATAGCCTTTCACGTTTGCTACGTGTGGGGTGGTAAGTTCTACGACACCATGGTCACGCACCAAAGCTTGCACCGCATCGAAACGGCTCGTCGTTGCTATGGCAATAAGAGTTCGGGGCAACAAAAAGCACGCACCTCACCCATAACAGGTTTCCGCGAGTGCTCTGGTCTCCTGCCTCTCTACGAGAGTGGTGTAGATAAACCTGGTTGCCCATCGAAGAAAGTGCAGGTCCGATAGCACTTCCCGCCATCTGATGTAGAAGTACGGGAAAGGTTTAATCGTATCCTCGTTGCCGGTGGGCTCTGAAGGTACTAAGTATTGCAAGCGTCATGTGAGAATATGAAATCTTTAGGATTGCAGATGGTTCAGGTTGTGATTGGAGAACATATCTATCGTTCGTGATGGTAGACGA